ACTAGTCTTTTTATCATATCCATAGTTTTATCTTTAATAGGGTGCTAGTTGAAATCATACAGTATAAATGTACTTTAAACTGCTCATCCAGCTCTTGGGAATCAATAACTAGTTAGTTGGCAATCCTAGTATGGATGTGTAACTATGACTATTATTTTACATACATAAACCTTTTTATTTGTAAACATGATCTCACTTAATCCTCACAACAACTTTATGAGAGGTGCAGTCATTATTGCTATTTCATAGATGTGAAAATGTATACCCACAGATGTATTACAGGAGCAACTGGCTGAACCTGAACTTGTCTGTAGATAACTGTGCATATTTGTGAAGCTAGACAGTAAATTGCATAGAAGAGAGGAACAGTTGGGAATTGGAGGGTAAGCAGACATCTGAGCATATGTGGAAACAGAGGTGTGTACTGGCAAATGGATGAGGACATGCAAATCTTTCTCTTATGATCATGACCGCTTGTCTTTAACTTAGGACTCAGGATCAGGCTGTGTTGAACTGGAACTGAGAACACTGAGTTCTGTCTCAGTAAACTTATTCCCTGTTAAACAGTAAATTAAAATTCCATTGCTTCCTCTTAATGATTCACTTAGGAACTTGGACTCCAGCTCCAACTCTGGGAATTAGCTCTAGCATTTGGCATTACTAGCAGTTAGTGAGATGTAAATATCCCCCTTTCCTTGAGTGGCAGTGCATTTCTCAAGAGCTTTGTATTTATGTAACCGTTAGAATATCTTGTCCTCAAAACTCTTGTATATCAGTAAAGATCTTTGATTGTTCAACCTAATGGCCACTTTTTGGTGAAAACACTGGTGACCTATCCCTGAATTTCTTCTCTATAGCTCCCTTGACATTCATTCTGACTTTCTTCTTATCTGCTAGACTTAATACTAGTCTCTTCTTGGTACTTTGGCCACTCTGTGATGGGCACTACTGGTTACCCACTCAATAGTTTTTTCTCCTGTGTCTTCCTATTTTTTTTTTTTTTTTGCTTCTTTCTGAGAGAATTGCTTTGTTCAGGTATTCTCCTTTCTCTGAGTTGCAATGCATTTCCCCAGAGTTAAGTCCATTCCTCAGATAAATCCTCATTAGACTAATTCATTACTTCTCATAGTGTAATTCCAGGACCAGCATCATTACCCTTACCTGGGAATAAATAAAAAATTCAAATTTTTAGGACTCTCCCTGGTGGCGCAGTGGGTTAAATGTGCAGCACTATGAAGCTCTCGGAAGCCACTGCAGCTTGAATTTGACCCCCAGCCAGGGAGCTCACTCACATGGCATGGCAGACCTCTCCTATCTCACCCGCTGCTCCCCTTAGTGTATTTCAGTCAATCTGCCTGGTCTGCTCCCTATTCTGTCTTTGGTGAATCCTCTCACACCTCCATGCCTCTGGCCTGTACCCCAGTTCTTGTAAGCATAAATAAATAAATCTTTAAAAAAAAGAAAAAAATTCAAACTGTCAGACCTTAATCCTACTGAACTGGAAGCTCTGGGGGTAGAGCTGAAGGCAATGAAGGCCTAGCAGACTTAAAAATCTTTTTACCTCTCTGAACTGTCTAAAAGAATTTTATATAGGAACCTGTACGCAGAAGAGAGCTTACCAGAAGGACTTTGTATCATAAAGATTTGGAAACATTTGTTCAGGAAACATTTGCTCTTAATTTTCTGTGAATGATCTTCCTCCCCTTGGAAGCCCAGACCCCCGCCCTCTATTCCTTAGCTTAGGAGGCACATAAACTTCAATTGCTTGACTGTCTTGGAGTCTTAGATATTTTTTAATTTTTTTGAGTCATAGTTTCATGGTGCACGTGTATGTAATAAATTACTTTTTCTTCTGTTAATCTGTTTTATGTCAATTTATCAAACTAGCCAAAGAACATAGAAGGGAAAAGATTTTTGCCCATAGGTACAGGCTCTTGCTTAAAGAGCTCTTCTGGGCAAAGTGGCCAGGGCATGGCTGTCCCAGCAGGAGGGCTCATTACAGCCTTGGTACTGTCTGGGAACCACAGTGCCACCTCCATCTCCCCCAGTGGTTAGCACTGGCTTCTGTGGGACCACTACTGGAATTCCTTGGAGAGGTCTTGGGACTCTAAACTAGGAGACCTAGATGAAAAGAGTATCGTTCCCTGAAGCAGGTCCGACTATGTAATTTTCAGAGCCCAGTGCAAAATAAAGATCTGGGCTTCTCCTCAAAAAACTTAAGAACTGCAAGACAGCAACAACTGTATGTTAAAGTAAATGTGGGACCCTCTGACAGTAGTCCCTGGATGATTATAGAGGTCATACCCCACACCCCCACAGAGCTAGCCCAGCCCAGGAATAGTACAGTCACAACTTAGTGCTTTTCTGCATGCATTTTAAACACACTGTTTTGCTTAATTCTCTTATCAACCCCACTTTTAACATGATTCTGAGGTTCTGTTTCCCAAGGTCACAATGCCCATAAGTTCTAGAGTCTGCACTTACATTGTCCTTCAGAACTAGAAAGCTCTAGCTGTTTACAGGGCAAAGGGCTACTAATCATTCACACTTAACAAAGTCCATTGTTGGTAAACAATGCCTTCTTGTTCTGGGAGGAAGGAATGGAATCTTCCCAGAGAACCCTTGACTGCCCAGAGCCAGGAAGAACTGCCTAGAGCCCCAGGCCTTAGTCTCTAAAACTATGTAACTGTTTCAAAAGGCTGGAAACCACTTTCTAACAATCTAACCTATATACAAGTTAGCAGCTCCTCCTCATCAATTTCTCACCAGTTACAGCTGAGCTGTTTCCTGGAGGAGTTGTTTGTATTCTCCCTCACCCTTCTTCCAAGAAAAATGGCTGTAACACATTTTACAGTGGTCTTTAGGCACTCCACTACTCTCCCTGTCGTTGGACAAACCTTCATAACCCCATCCTCACACAAAGCCCCCGCTTTAGGCCTGTACCTGAGAAACATCCAGCACTGTAGAGTTAAAGAAAGGGGAAGTGGTTGGGTGGGAGAGGGGGCTCCTGAAAGGTCCCAACTGATTCTGGAAATCCCCCAAGTGATCTCTTCCACCTCTGGATTCTTGGAAACCCATGTGACAGATGTGGGACAAGCTGGTGTAAATTCTGTGAGGCACTAGGAAAGAGGGGGCTGACTCCCAAGGTTCAGGATGTCAATCAGTGGAGGAAGACCATGAAGACCAGCAGTGCTCCCTGAGAAGTCAGCTGCCTCCAGTTTGACTGACACCCTCTGACTTAGCTCAGGTTGTGCATTAAAAAAAAAAAAATCTTTTTTTTCCATGGTGAGTTTTAAGGTGGTAGAACTTTTCACTACTAGTAAACTTTGCATTCCTAGTAATTCACACTACTGCTCAAGTTGAACAAACTAAGTTTACCATACTGAAGAAAAGACTAAACATGTTCATCTTTACTGTTTTTAGTTTTTGGTTCTAAATAAATCTTGCTATCAATAATCTCTCTCCTGTCACAATTACAATGCAGTAAAAAAGGGTGAGGCCTTAGAAGCCACATGAATGATGGAATAAAAGTCTGTTCCCACAGAAATCCAAGACTGATACAAAGAATCATGAAGGGTATATACTACATTATTCACCAGTGAAAGTCCAGTTTTATCCTTTATCATGCCATTACCCCCTTTTCCTATTTACCCACTCACCATTCCTAAATAAAAACTTAAAACACTTAGAATATTAAACAATAATTCGTGTCCATTCATTGATTTTTCCAACCCGTTTATTCCATGTTAGGGCCATAGGTGACCAGAAACTATTCCAGCAGCTATAGTTACAACAGGAACCAACCCTGAATAGTTGGTTCCTTTCTATAAGAGGGTACACTCGCACAGTACCCACACCCATTCAGACAGGGACAATTAAGACATGTCAGTTGACCTAAATTCACACCTTTAGAACCTGGGAGGAAACTGGATTACCTGGAGAAAACCCACATAGACATGGGGAGAACATGGAAATTCCACTTCGGTGGTCCTAATCACGAACAGGTTCCCCCCCCAACTTTATAAGAAAATGTTGTCGAACAAAACAAAGTTATTCAATCTCATGTCTAAAAAGGGACGATCCTACTGAAGGTGCCTTTGTTTTGATAATAGGATAGGGAGGAGAGGTTGATAAGGAATAAAGGGTACTCTATTCTAAAAGGAAAGAAAAATTCAGGGAGATGGGAGTTCATAACAAAGAGTAGTATATGTTTTGGGGGCCTATGGAGAAGATGTGGCAGCTGCTCAAAGGGAAGAGAGAAATATGTTTCAGTAGGATTTTTAGGAAGTCTGTTGTATGATTTGTGATGTAACTCAAGAGAATTTTTTTTTTTTTAAATCAGTAAAATATATACTCTCCTTTGGAATCTGGTCAGGACTTGTATTTTGAGTTTTGGAAGGCATCAATAACAGCTCAGGATGGCACCGGTCAGAACTGGGCCAGTGAGGAAGGTTCAAGGTCATTCGTGTTTACACCCAGCTTGTGTGCTTCATTCAGGATCATGCAATTGAACTCTGATCTTTGAGTCCGAGCCGTTATTTGGTCGCCGGACGATGGAGAATAGGGGAGAAACACCAGTCAGTTGTGCATTATCAAAGTGGGAAGGATGAAAATGACTTAATCTAGTTCCAGAAGAATGAGTCGGGGAGTAGTGACTCTCAGCCCCTTTGCTCACCCAGTCTAGTGCCTGGCACCTAACGAGCTGGAAATGCATTTGCTGATTGGTTGACTCAAATAGGATAACGGAGGGGGGCAGATTATAGCAATCTCTTGATTGCTATTACCCCCACTGTGAAGCTGAAAACACTCAGGCCTGAAAGTGGCTCCATCGAGTTCTCTTGACGGTTGGGGTAGGTGCCAAACCCCCTACCCCGGGTGCCGGATACCCTCACGCGCCCTCCCATAGTAACTTGCGTTTGGCATGGTAACCCCGCCCCATCAACCCACACTTCCGTGTTTCGCCCCGCCCACCCGCAATTACTTCCGGTCTTCCCCCTGCACGCTGCGACAGGAGCTTGTGGTGGTAAGTCCCCTCCAAAGCTCGCGTGAAAGAAGACTTTGGGCTGGCGACGCGTCCAGGGCTGTTATTACTCGGGCCACCCACCCAGGGATTATGCGGCAACCACTTTTCCTTCTCGAAGGCCTAAGGCGCCGACCTGTGGATGACATCACTTCCGGGGCATTTGAGGGCAGGCGAGAGCCGGAAATGGTTCTTGCCCCACCTGGTGGTGGCAAGAGGTCGGGACCCCTTCGGGGTTTTGCTCTGTAAAGCCCAAGATTTTAGGAAAGGCTATGTCCAGTGGAGTTGCTGGATTGAGCAAATAAAAATACAGGGCGTCTAGTAAAGTTTCAGGTAAACGAGGATTATTTTAGTCTACGTATATAGCCTGCACAATATTTAGGATACATCTTTACAAAAAAATTAGCATGAGCATGTCCCATACACTATTTGTAATACACCTATACATTTGTGTTATTTTTCTGAGATTCAAATTTAACTGGATGCCTTGTATCTTGAGGATTCCCCTGCCCTGGACTCCCGTAGTTGGCCTGGGATTCTCTAGAGCTTTGCCCTGTGAGAAATATGTATAAAATTCGCCCAGGCTGTCAAAATCAGCTGTTGCTAAATGCTCCAAATCTAATGGCCCAGCCCTGGGGCCCCTTGGCAGAAGCTGGGCCCAATTTCATGGTGGTGCCCTCTGTGCTCACTTTCACAACTGGAGTGAAGCAGGGTTAGCTTTCTCATGGGAAAACTCAGAACCATGCAGTCTGAGTACTAGAATTTGCCAAGTTTTTGAGTGTAGGCCACACTGGTGTTTGGGTCCAGATATTGTGTTAACTGTGGAAAACTTAAGAGAGCCCAAGGATGCCTAGGGGAGAGCATTTATTCATCCCACCCCACCTTTTACACATGTGACACAGGGAGAGTAAGGGAGCTGTCCCAGCGCCTCAGAAAATCTGTGGTTGTTGCTGGAACCTGATCCCCAGTCTTCTTCCCCTGTTCTGTCTACAGTTGCTGATGTAGTCAGCCTGTGGCATTTATGGTGGGTATTTATTCAACTGGATGCCTTTTTGTTTTGTTTTGTTTTGTTTTTAAAGATTTTTATTTATTAATGCATACAGAAACTGGAGTGCAAGCCAGAGGTGCAGGGGCAGTGAGAGGATTCACCAGAGACAGCGTGGGGAGCAGAATGGGTAGATCAATGACGTATACTGCTGAGAGAGCAGTGGGCAGGTCAGGAGAGGTCTGCCACGCCATGTAGGTCACCTCCACAGCCGGGGATCGAACTTGCACTAGCTTGCAGTGCAGCGCTTTAACCTGCTATACCACCAGGGAGGGCCTCTAATAGGTGCCTTTTAAGAAATGAGCTTTTTTGAACTTTACTACCCCTAAACTTTTTTAAAGATTTATTTATTTATACATACAGGAACTGGGGAACAGACCAGAGGTGCAGGGGTGGGGGTGAGAGGATTCACCACAACAGTGTGGGGAACAGAACAGGCAGATTGACTGAAATACACTGCTGACAAGAGCAGCAGGCAGGTCAGGAGAGGTCTGCTGCTGTGCCGTGAGGGTCACCCCCCTGGCCAGGGATCAAGTTTGGGCTGCAGTGGCTGCAAATAGCTTCACAGTGCTGTGCTTTTTTCCTCCACTTGGGAGGGCCCTCCCTAAAGACTTCTATAGCCTGTTGACCTTCTTTAGCCTTTACCCTTCCCAAGGGAGGAGTGATTATTTGGGGTCAGCTGTGGGAGGGTAGCCTTTGCCTGATCCAGCCACTTGAATTTCACAGAGGTGGTGTGATCTGGCCAAAATCTGGCCAGAGGTGGGCCTGGCCAGCCATGTGGTTAGCAGGGCGTCCTTTCCTATAGCTTGAGCCGGTGCTGTAGGGGCTTCTTCAAGCTTTCACTATGAGCCAGGTGCTGCTGCTTTTGATTTGAATCTGAATCCCTTGCTGGCTTCACCTAGAGGGCTGAGATTCCTTAGGCTCTGTACCCTGAGCATGTCAGTGCCCTGGTAAACCCCACACAGGCCTAGCCTTCTCAGGCTTCCCAGCCTAGACTCTTGAGCTAATGCAATAGAGTAGGCTGGAGGTCATTGGACTCAGGGTCAGGTGGTAGAACAGCCAGCAGCTTCCTGGCAAGAGAAGTGGTAAACAGGAAAAAGTGCCAGAAAGAGGCATCACCCATGGGTGAGGGCTCAAACATGCAGGAGGGTGGGGAAGGGGCAGGGCAGAAGGCCACTGATAGGAGTAGCTTTCTCTGTGAATGGTTAACTCTCAGCCAAAGGGGGTGACCAAAGGAACCATAGTGGGAGGGCTCAGCCAACAGGACCTTTGGACTCAGGGCAGAGTGTTCAGAGGGCCTGTGTGTGGCCTGCAGAAGAGGAGGACATAGCTAGGTGGCAGGGCTGGGGTCCAAGGGCTGGAGTGAGACCAGGCGACTGTGGGCCTCAGGAAGTCTCCTCAGACTGGCAGATGGCCTGTGCTTGCAGCAGCAGCTGTGGGGTCCACTAGCCCTGTATCCTCGGGGGTAGCTGTGGTGGGGCTGCCTGTCTCTGACCTTGCAACAACATTACTAGTGCTTTCTTTCTCCCTCACCAGCTATGGGTGCCAGGTGGTGCTGAGAGCAGTGGGGGCATGGCTGCAGCCCTGCAGGTCCTGCCCTGTTTGGCCCGAGCCCCCTTGCATCAGTGGATCTGGGGAAGTCCAATGGCCCGAATGGCCAGTGGCATGGCCCTACCAGAGCTGGCACGACAGCTGTTTGAGACCTCTGTGGGTGCTGTGCTGCCAGGCCCCATGTTGCACCGGGCACTATCCTTCGACCCTGAAGGCGGGCAGCTGAAGGTGCGGGACCGGAGCTTCCAGCTGCGGCAGAACCTCTACCTGGTGGGCTTCGGTAAGGCTGTGCTGGGCATGGCAGCTGCTGCTGAGGAGCTGCTGGGCCATCATCTCGTTCAGGGCGTGATCAGCGTTCCCCGGGGGATCCGCGCGACCTTGGAGCGTGCTGGCAAGCAGTAAGGAACCATGGGGGGCTGTTCCCCACTATCTATCTGGAGAAGATCCCCAGTATAAACTGGACTGAGGCTTCCCTCCCTCACTAGCTTGCTTCTTATTCTGGATCTGGTCTGGCTTGGGGTGGGGCAGGCGGGTGTTGGTGGGCATCCTATTAGTGCCCCTTTCACCTGTACACAGCTGAGAAAGGAGAGGAGCCCCCCCCCCCCATCTCTTGCTTTATGACCTATCCCTTCTCAGGGAGATGCTGTTGAAGCCACACAGCCGTATCCAGGTCTTCGAGGGTGCAGAAAACAACCTGCCGGACCGTGATGCACTGCGGGCTGCGCTTGCCATCCGGCAGCTGGCTGAAAGTCTCACAGCTGATGATCTGCTGCTAGTGCTTATCTCAGGTGTGGATGTCAGGACAGTTGGGGTGTGTGTGTGTGCCCAATATCAGTCTTCAAGAGACTGTCGGTCTGAGCCCCCAGGATCACAGAGTGAGGCAGGCTGTGAGGAACTTGGATGGTTGACTTCTGGGTGGACCTGGGATGTTTGTCTGGCCTCCCCTGATGCTGTATTCCCCCTTTTGAGTGACCTTGTTGGGTGGTCATTTGAGGGTACATAGGGATCACCGCACTCAGCCTCATAAGGAAAATCGGTTACTGCTGTTGTCTATACCAGTGTCACCCAGGGCCAGAAACCACATCTCTGGCTTCCACAGAGCCCTCTTCCTGGGCTTCCAGTATTCCCACCTGGTCTCCCCCCTATTCCAGCCTCTTTAGTAGTTCTTCCAGTGCCTGCTGGGACCTGGGCTACTCTGAGTTAGGGTGTAACCTCAGGCCCCTGGCATATGATGACTACAGATACATTCATTGAAAGTCCACATGGGGGCACCCTCATCCAACCTTTCCAGCCACCACTTCCCCTTCCCTAAAGTGTCACTGGCTTACTGATGGTCTGGTGGGGCTGTCTTCCCACGGGGCTGTCCTCATCAAGCCCCTCTGCTTGATGGCTTCATTGTCTTTACAGGTGGGGGCTCAGCCCTGCTGCCTGCCCCCATCCCACCCATCACACTGGAGGAAAAGCAGACACTCACCAAGTTACTGGCAGCTCGAGGAGCCACCATCCAGGAGCTGAACACCATTCGGAAGGCCTTATCCCAGCTGAAGGGTGGTGGACTGGCACAGGTCGCCTACCCTGCCCAGGTGTGTGGGTACTTTTTCTGAAGGTGCCCTGGGCTGGTGGAACCAGGCTCACAAATAGAAGGGAATGAAAGCCTGCACAGTGCACAGATTGGCAGGGACCTGGTGTGGGATTCCACAGGGTTGACTGAGAGGGACTAGAGAGGGGACAAGGGGAGTCTGCATGGCCTAGTACTGTGTGACCTCCTCCAGGAGAAGGGTCAGAAACCTGTGAGGAAACCCATGCCTGGTGTGAGAGTATATAGACACACGGGGCCAGGGTGTCCCTGTGGACTCTGGGGAAAGGACCAGGTGGGCCTTAGCGTGGCCTCTGTGACCCCTCCCTAGGTGGTGAGCCTGATTCTGTCCGACGTGGTGGGGGACCCTGTGGAATTCATTGCTAGTGGACCCACTGTGGCCAGTGTCCACAACGTACAAGATTGCCTGCAGATCCTCAATCGCTACAACCTTCGGGCTGCCTTGCCACGTTCTGTGAAGACTGTGCTGGCTCAGGCTGACTCTGACCCCCAGGGGCCGCACCCCTGCGGGCATGTCCTCAATGTGATTATTGGCTCCAATGCAATGGCACTGTCTGAGGCCCAGCAGCAGGCTGAGGCAATGGGCTACCGAGCAGTGGTATTGACGGCAGCCCTGCAGGGCGATGTGAAAAGGGTTGCCGAGTTCTATGGGCTGCTAGCCAGAGTGGCTGGAGCTTGCCTCTCTCCTGCTGGGACTGGAACCTTTGTGGAGGAGGATACACAACTCCGTGAGCTTGCGACTGAGCTCCAGATCCTGGACTTGCAGCTGAAGGACACTCTGAAGGCCGTGGTGGAGGCCAAGGGTCCCATCTGCCTGCTGGCTGGTGGTGAGCCCACCGTGCAGTTGCAGGGCTTGGGCAAGGGGGGCCGGAACCAGGAACTGGCCCTGCGTGTTGGAGTGGAGCTGGGACGCTGGCCTCTGGGGCCTGTTAATGTTCTGTTTTTGAGTGGTGGCACTGATGGGCAGGATGGGCCCACAGAGGCAGCTGGGGCTTGGGTCACTGCTGAGCTTGCCAGCCAGGCTGCCGCCGAGGGCCTGGATGTGGCCACCTTCCTAGCCCACAATGACTCACACACCTTCTTCTGCTGCTTCCAGGGTGGGTCACACCTGCTACAGACAGGGATGACCGGCACCAATGTCATGGACACTCACCTGCTATTCCTGTGGCCACGGTGATCGCATAGGTCATATTTTGGGAGTCCAGAGGAAGCCTATGAGGGCAGGGTCCTAGGGTGACAACGTTGGTCACTGGGGCCTCACTAGGCCTTGGGACCCCTCCTCTCCTTGGCCTTGGCTGCTTGCTTGGTCCTCCCACCTCACACCCAGGGCCTCTGTTTTATATCCATCCTCTTTCAACCAGATTGGCATATTGGGGTACACTTCCACTCCTGCTTTCTGCTATAGCAGAGGTACCCCTGAAGAGTAGGGCAAGCCCCTTTGCCAGTTTGTTATTCTTGGGTTCCCTCCTCCCTGCCCTGGCAGCTCTTCTGCTGAGTTCCTGAGCCTGTATTTTTCTGTGGGGTGATGCACGGACTGAAAATAAAATGGACCACGCCATGGTTCTCCATGCATTGTCTCTCAGAAGAAACACTTGAGGGAAACCACTGGGGCAAGAAGTGGGGTCAGATGGCAGGGCCAGTACCTGGGCCTCCCACGCGCTCTGTGCAGGGCATACCAGCACCAGTTTGATGTAAATAGGACCTGCGGACTAAGGAGTTGAACCTCGTCTTGTCACTCAACGTGAGTGAGCAGAAGGCCGGCCCACCCATGAGCCTCCCCTGTGGCATCTGTGCTGGCCTCTCAGCTTCTGCTGTACGCCTTGCTGGGTGGACTTCTACTGCCTGCCGCCTGGGACACCTGTCCTTTCTGCCCCTTCAGCGTGGTCTGTACTTTCTCTGGTGGGGCTACTCTCTGTTTACCGAGGGGCCACTCTGACCACACAGGAAGCTGGCTGTTTTCTTGTGCAGGCCCCATGTCTCAGGATGAACATCCTCAGTTCCTTCAGCCATTTCTCTGGGGACACAGTTCATTTCTCCAGCCTCGCAGAAGGCGATCCAACAGCTCTCTCAATTCCCATTTCAGGATGGGGAAAAGGTCAGTGGGAGGAGGGCAATAGGGGAGAGGCTCCTCTGGCCAGGTTAGCAGCCTGTGCTAGGAGAGGGAAGGGCCCTGTCCTGGCTCGCCTTGGCGCCCTTGCCCAGTATCCAAGCCCACTGCTGGCCACCCTCGCCGTGCGCCACGGCTCCAATCCCTATATGAGTGAGCAGTAGAATCACATAGGAATAAAAAGCCATAGAGAACAGCGAGGCCTGGGGCTGCTCCTGCCGGCCCCCCCTTCCACCCTACCTGGCCCCTCCTCTCTGAGGGTGGGAAGGGACTCGGCCAGCACTGGCATGAGGCAAGCGCCTCCCTCCCCACTTGGGCTCCAGCCATTCCAGCTTGTTACAGGCTCCTGACCTGGGGAGAGATGTCACAGGGCAGCCTGGGGGGTGGAGTCCAGCAAGGCCAGCCAGATTCTGGGGGCCTGGGAGCTTAGGGGAATGGGGACACTACTTCGCCCCTGTCCTGGCCCGGAATTTCTGCCACCCGGGGTCATAGTGCTGGGATTCCGGCCCCTCGTGGTAGAGCCTGTGCCCTGGTCTTCCTCTGCCACCTCTAGATATGCTTTGAGCCTGCCTCCATCTTTGCCCATGGGAACATGAGTGTCAGCACCCGGGACCAAGTTCCAGACAAGAGCAGGACGGGTGGACTGTCGTTGGGGTGGGCCTCTGCCATGTCGCATGTATGTGGGGGGCGCACACACAGAAACAGCATGGGATGTGTACTTGGCTGCTCACATGCCTGGGGAGGAGTTTGAGTGTGGGCGGGGTCTTGCCACCTTGGCCCTACACCTCTCTTTGTGGGGGCCAGGAGCCCGTGAGTGGATTGGGTCTAACCCATTAGATTGGCTCCCTTGGTACCCCCTGGGTGAGAAAGGCTATATTAGGTGAAAGTCTAAGTTCTACATAGTAAGTGCTCAGTGGGCCTTAACTGGCTCCATAAATGTCAATTATGGGCTGTAATAATTGCTGCCACTCTTGGCTTTTGGCTTGGGTTTCTCCTGGCCCAGATTCCTGTTGCCCTTGCGCTCACCTCATCTCAGTCCCCTGAGCTTCTGGCCCAGCTGGAGGCTTTCCCCACTGAGTTTGTCTCCTCCCCCCCAACCATGGCCATTCCCACAGGTCCCTCTCCTCTCTGCGCCAGAGCAGCCAGGCTGTGGGCCCGCATAGCCCTTAGGTGTCAGCTTATCCATATCCCTTTGTTTTATAGCTGGGACCACTCCCTAAAGAGGAGAAAGGTGGCTTGGCCTGGGGTATACAGCTACAGGCAAGGGTGACAGCCTGCTTGGGCCCTGATTGACCACCCTCTGCCCTCTCTCTGGAGAGTCTCTGGGGCCTAGTGAGGACTCATCTAGGGCCAGGGGACCTGCTGTTACCTGCCTGCTGTCACTCAGGAGCTTGGGGTTGGTGACATGAACGCACGTGGGCTCTCTTAAGAGCCAAAAAAACAGATCTGTCAGTGCTGTCTTGGGTGAGATTTCACAGCTCCCTTAGGCAGGTGATTGGTGGAAGACCACTTGCAATTGGGTGGTGAATTTCTACCCAAAAGCATGCCTGTCTCAGCACATCTGCACGTGTGCCCCTGGTACATGTGTGTGTAAGTGTGTCCTGCTCAGCCGACAGCCCATCACTGAGTGGACCTCTGAGCTGTGCTCTACTGCACCCTGGAGTGAGTGAGTGAGGTATGGCCAGAGCACTGGGGACATGAAGCGAAATGGCAAAGAGGCCATAGAGGCTGACAGAGGCCAACTCGCAAAGAACCTTACAGCCTGGCCAAGGGGATCCCATCTCGCCTGACAGCAGGGGCCAGCCCCTGAGGATTTTAAGTGAGGGGTGATGCTGAGGCCTGCCTTCCTTACTGCACAGGTGGGGGCTGGGCAAGCAAGGAGGGGTGGGGGTCCCAGGTAAGAGTGAGAGGTGTATTATCAGGCTCAGGAACTTGCTCCTACCGCTCCCTCCAGCCCCATCCCTACAGCCTTCTACCAGTCCAGGTGATCCTGAAGATGCCTACTTTAGAATCCAGGCTGGAAGTCCTGTCTCAAAAGAGCCCTGAGAGTAACCTAGCCACTGTCCTCGTGAATGTCACTGTGCCTTGAGGATTGGGGAGGGGGGCAGGAAGACTGGGATTGGGCAGTTGGTGCACACTTTGGGGAGCAGCTCCCCTTCTCAGGTAGACTCTCACCAGAGTTATGGGAGTCAGGTCCTAAGTCCTTATCTTGCTTCGTCACTTTCCTTTCTTCAGGCCTCCTCACTCTAATAGGGACACCATCCTTGTCCCCCCGCTTCCCTCTCTGGGGGGTGAGCTCAATGGCATGTGGGTAGGAAAGCTCTGTAGAAGTGGAGGACTTGGGGTGGGAGGGAAAGAGTTGTTGCTGGCTTCTGCTAAGGTGAGGTTCAGATCAGAGGCCAGCAAGGCCTTGGTGTCCACTGAGGCTGAGCAAGTGACCCGCTGCCTTCTGGCACTGGATGAGCACTTGGAATGGATGGTATTTGAATCTTGGATGACTGGCAGAGTCATAGAACCGAGAGGGTCAGCTGGAACCAGAATGACTCAGCCTGAAAGAGAGCCCCTTTATGTCTCAGAAAAATGGACAGGGGAGCTTGCTCCCCTCTGGATCTGGATCACATGTGAGAGAGATGGTGTGGACAAGAGCCAGCTTGACCCCAGGTTGGGAGTCACTACCTGAGAAGATTTGGGTGTGCTAGGGCTAGGGGGCAGCGACACACCCTAAGTGGTGGGAAGCCAGTCACTTAGGCTGCCTATGTGAGAGAGGGCTGTGGAGTCTCGTGAGCTGTGCCCAAGCCCTCTCGCTGTAGCGAGACATCTCTGGATGTCTGAGGGCTGCCCCCTCCCTGTTGACCACTGTGCCTCCTACTTGCCCTGGCTCAGGCTTCCCTTGGGCCTGTAGAGACTGGGTGGGGTAGGCAGAGGAGCACAACTGAAGCCTCTACACTGTCCCCGTTAGCTTATACCCACAGCTCTGGTTCCACCCCTGACATTTTCTCCATCTGGGAAGGGTTGCTGAGCAGCCCAAACCAAGAGACCTTGGTCCGGAAAGAGAGTGAGGCAGAGTTGTCCTCCAAAACGAGTGTCCTGTTGACCTAGTCCTGGGAGAACAAATGCCCTTAGAAGCTTTGCCTCATGGGGTTGTTACCTACCCCATGATCTTGGGGGTTTTTACCCCATGATCTTGTCCACTGCTGGCTCCCTGAGAGTTCAAGGAGCCCAAGGCCCTGGCCTGGCTCTTCTCTGGCCAGATAGCCAGGGGCTGGTCTCCATTGGGAAGATCCCCTCTGGTCATCTCACATTCCTGGCCTTTGCTGCTCCCTCCTCTGGCAGTCAGCAGGCAACCTTGCTCACCTCTCTGGGGGAGGTGTGCGCAGCCCTCTTCTCTCCAGCTCTGTCTTTCCATCCCTAGATCCAGTAAGTAGGAGTGGCAGGGCCCCTTCCATCCACTCCCCTCCGCCTGCCCAGCTTCAAGGTCTCAGGGCCTCCTTGTTGCCCTGGATCATCTCCCATTATCACACTTGTAACTGTATTCAAGAGCTAGGGCTCTTCTCCACCTGTTCACCCTCTCTCCCCTCTACCCACCTCAGCTCACCCCATCCCAGAAAACTGACCACACTGACATCTCATCTCTGGCCCGAGTCCACACTTGGCAACTCTGGGCAAAGCTGTCCTGGGAACCCTATTTTAGGGGATCCTGTCAAGAAGGATGAAGTGCCTTTCCCTCCATGTGGATCTCTGGGTCTAGAGGTCAGTAGCTTGGGGTGAAACCTCTTCCTCTATTGCCTGAGCAGTGGAAACAGCCCCAGCATGTCCTTGACCAGTAACAAGACCTCTGCAGGGACAGGCAATGGTAAAGGGCCACAGCCTGGACAGTGCCTGCTGCCACCAGCAATCTCACAATGCAGCCCGGCAGAGGCAGGATGCTGAGCCCTGGACTCCAGGTCTGCACATACACTCAAGCCTCCACGCCGGCAGCTCTTCCAGGGAGCCCAGCTCCCGCCCACCCAGTTGGGTCTCCCTCAGTGCAGGGCCACTCTCAGAAGCTAGGCATGGGGCAGGGACAGAGCTGGCCAGCTCCTGAACCAGTTTTGTCCCGCTTCCCCTCCCCCCCCCAAGCAGCCAACAGGGTACCCCTTTCTGCCTGGGCTCCTGCTGACCGCTGGGCATCCAGAGCTGGCACTCTGACTGCTGCTCCCAGCCTGGGGCAGAGCAGCGGTCCTGGGCTGTGGCCGGACTGCCCGCTCTCCCCACCTGCCCACCCCCAGAGCTCCCGGTCGCTAGCGGCTCACCTCGGTGGCAGCGCTGTCTTCTCACCAGAGGCACTGCAGTGTGGGAACTGTCCCGAGGAGCTGGTTCTCAGCTGAAACAAAGAGGTGGGGGAGAAAGAGGGGGGCAGCGGGAGAGGGAGAGGGTAAGCAGCGAGCAGGCAAAGGAGCGGAG